GATGCTTTCGCGCCGTCACCGCCGCAGGCACCTCGCCAAGGAGGCTTTTTTTTGTATTGTGTGCCATGGGGGGATGGATGGATGGAGGGGGGGGTAAGGGGACGGCAAAGGGTACAGAGCATGTACGTTACACGATCCGTGGGTGTAACGCGTGCTGTTGTTGTGTGTCGTATTATAGTTATAAGCTCTTCTTTGCTTCTTCAACACAACACATTCATCTCCACGGATGTAAGTCTGGGATGGACTATTGCCGTTTTCTTCCGGAGAGAAGGCCGGCCCCTTGGCCGCTCGACGACCGCACAAGGATGAAAAAATTAAACCTTCCGCGAGTACCCCCCCCCCCCCCGCAATACCGATGCCGCTTCTACTCCGCGGGGGCCCCCGGGAAGACACACACCTCGTGAGCCTGCCGTGCCTGCACCATGTCGCCGAGGGTCCGTTTCACCCACGCCACAGGAACCGTTAGGCCTCCCTCCAGGGCTTCGGCCAAGACGTGAGCGTAGTCCTGTGTGTGTGGTGCGTGGGAAAATGGACGCGATTTGCATAGAGGTAAGGGGTGTGCGGAATTTATGTGTGAGTTACCAGCACTTTGAGCCTCCACGGCTGCGGTCAGGACGTCGGTCCTGAGTGGTGCGCGGCAAAGCGACTCGATTTCGATAGAGATAAGTGGTACGGATAGTTTAGCTACCATCTCACAATCTAAAACTATTAGTAGTAGTGGTAGCAGTAGTAGTCGTAGAAGTAGTTATATCACACAATTTAGCACAAGTAGGCGTAGTAGCAGTAGTAGTCGTAGAAGTAGCAGAGCAGTAGTAGTAGTAATAGTGGTGGTAGTAGTAGTTGGCGAAGGAGGAGAAGGGGGAAGAATAGGAGGAGGAGGAGGAGGAGGAGGAGGAGGAGGAGGAGCGGCAGGAGGACAGAAACGATGGCGGCAGTCTGTGATAATTTCCCTCGCATCTTCCGCCGGAGATCAAACTCTCTCACCTGCGTCCCGGTGGCCTCCGCCATGCGGTGGCAAGCGTCCAGGTACCGCCACGTCGCCGGCGCGAACTCAGAGTCTGCTTCCGCGAGGTTCATGTTGGATTCCGCCAGGTCTTCCCTCTTTATGCGTCGTCCCACCCACCTGCCACACCAAGGCCAGCGACGACGGAGGGTGTAAAAAAAAAACAAAAAAAGCGAAACAAATGCGTTCGAGAGATGGGGGCTCGATTTATTTTCGCTACGCGAGTGAAAAACCTCAACAGCAGTCATCGATCAATGACGCGGTCTCCCTTGTTGGTCATTCATTACTTGCTCCTTCGAAGGCGGAGGCGGAGGTTCGAAAAGGGCGAAACAAACGCGTTCGAGAGATGGGGACTCGTTTTTTGTTGCGGGAGTGAACCCCAGTCAGCCACGTCCAAGGCACCGTGTCCCTTTTGTTGTTAACAGAAATGCGTCGGCAGTTGGTCGTTCTTTAGTTGCTCGTTCGCTCCCTCGCTCTCCGCGTCTTTCTATGTTCCTCTCCGCGGGTAGGCCCAAAAATAAAAGCCAACCACGCAACGACGACAACAAACGCATCCAACAACAGCGAGCACGGAGAAGAAGAAGAAGAACAACAACAACAACAACAACAACAAACACAGCCACCCAACAACAAGCACGGACAAAACAACAAGAACAACAAAGAGAACAACAACAGCAGCAGCAGCAGCAGCAGCAGCAGCAGCAGCAGCAGCAGCAAAACAAGATGAACAACAACAACAACAACAACAACAACAACAGACAATGTTGCGTCTCACTCACCCCTCCCAGCTCCACGCAGCCAGGTCGAGATCGCCGCCCAGCTCAACCGGCAGGCACGCCGCCACCTCCTCCCCTACCTCGTGCCGAAGCCAGTCTCTAGAAACCGCTCCCGACACCGCCAGGAAAGACTTGGAGGCAGCGGTCGAAGCTCTCCTGTGTACGCGCAGAGAGACACGGCAAGAAAATCGGTATCGTGCATGTTGGTCACATGATAGTTGTGGTGGCACTCCAGCCCTATCCAAGTTAACGGATGATAGAACAAAAAAACTGCAGAGAGAACCCACGTATCTTTGCGACAGTCTCTGCGGATCAGTCCTGCCTCCCATCGATCTTGTAACACACCGCTGCCCCTTTATCATCTGTTGCTCCCCCCATTCCTATATCGATAGGATATATGGGATAGGTTAAGACACAGTTGAGCCACCTTTGGCAAAAGTAGGAGGGAACGATTGGCCATCGGTTCCGTGGAGGCAACAATGCTTCGTCCTCTGGGGGACGCTTGGTCTTAACAACTTTAAGGTACGAAAAACACGAGCACGCCCCCCTTCTCAACATATGCCGCACATCCACGCCCCCCGCCCCCCGCCCCCCCACACACCTGGGAGGAGAGATGGTGCCGCGCCGGGCCGTAACCTTTCCGCCCATCAGTCCGCTACCGCGCCCACCGCCGCCGTCCCCCCCAACGCTGCTGTCTGTGGGGCCCCACTGAGGAGACACGGCACCGCTGAGGGAGACCCTCCTAGGAAGAAGGAGCGCTTTGAGCACGGGACCAGCGTTCACCACCAGCACCTTGTTTTGTTTTGTTTCGTCCGGGTTTTGCGGGGTTTTATTGAGAGCGAAATGCAGCGCCAGGAAGCCTCGTCAAAAAATGGCTACAAATCGTGTGCTTGCTTGCGTGTGTGGTGGGGTCGGGGGTAGTCGAAACAAAATAATCTGCAAATCATGTGTGTGTGTGATGGGGGTGGGGGGGGGGGGGGGGGGGGAAAGGGGCAAAACCCGCCCCATTTTCAAGGAAAAAAAAAACGGTCCCCCCCCCAAACCTCCTTTTCCCCAAAAACCAACGGGGGGGCAACGGCCGGCCTTCCCCAAAAAACCCCCCCTTAAAACTTTTATTTTTATTTAACCCCCCCAACCCCCCCGGGCCTTTTCCCCCAACCCCAAAAAAGCCCAAGGAAGCCCCCCGAAAACCCCGAAAACCCCCCCCCCCCTTATTCCCCCCCCCCCCCCCCCCCAAAAAAACCCCCACCCAAAACCTCTTTTTTTCCCCCCCCCCCCCCCACCCTCCCCCCCCTTTTTCCCCCCGGGGGGAACCCCCCCCCCCCCCCCCGAAAAAGTTTAGGTTTATGGAAGAATTCTTTCCAAAAAATTTTTCCCAAAAACCAAGCCTTGGAAGGTCCCCCTCCTTTTTAACCCAAAAATTCTCCCCCCCCCAAAACCCCCCAAAAAACCCAAACAAAAAAAAGCCCCCCCCCCCCCCCCTTTTT